ATTAAAAAGCAACGGTCTCAATGCAGCTCGGTGAGTTGTAAGAGAGTGCAGATGGACAGCTAAAAACAGCAAAGCACACGTGGGCAAGACAGAAGAGAAAGAAACCACAAGGAGAACCACATGGAAATCCTGCAGCTGAGGTCACAGCGTCTGAACGAGCCCAGAGAGCTTCAAAAGCAGGCCAAACAACCAGTGAATCCAAAAAGATACTGACATCTTCTGCAGAGGGGAACAAAAAGAGAAAGGAATGACGTGAACAAAGAGCCTGCAGCATTAGGGTTGCATCCCACAATCAACATACGCAGCACGGGAGCTCCAGACAGAGCAGGGGCGAAAGCTTCCACAGAAATAAAAGTGAAAATGCTCAAAACTGGAGGGGGAAATGAACAACTAGAGCCAGGCATCACAATGAACCCAGACGAGTGGACAGGGTCTTAGCCAGGACATACCATAACTGAACTGCTAAAAGGCAAAGAGAGAAATTTGGAAGCAGCACGAAGAGGCTTAGTACATGCAAAGGCCGACTCTTCCCTCTGAGACGACTTCCTGGAGAACTTGGAAGACAGAAGGACAATGGGATGATGTACTGGAAGAGCTAAAAATGGAAACAGCAACTAAACCCCACCCCGTTCTGATCTTTTCCCATTGCTCTGATAAAACACTCTGACATTTTAGCTCACACTTCGTTAGTTGAGCAGAGCAGAGACATCGAGGTGGGAACTGGCAGCAGCTGGTCACATCAAACCCACGGTCAAGAGCAGAAAGGGAAAGGGTAACGCATGCACACCTAGCTCATGCACACCCAGCACTCGGCTTTCCCTACCCTTAACTGTCTAGGGTCTCCATCCAAGTAACTGGTGCTCTTCCCAAGGACCTGGGTCCAGTTCCCAGCATCCACATGGTGGCACACAACTGTCCAGTTTCAGTGGATCTGACGCCCTCTTCTGGCCTCTGTGGGCACTGCATGCATCTGGTACATTTACACGGAGGCAAAACACTCCTACAAGTAAAAAAGCTAAACAACACGTCTTCAAAGTACTATCGCTACATCACATTATCACTGAATAAGCCGAGGACATGTGTCTAAATTGCCACAAAACCGATGGGGGTGACGTGGAGAAGCAACGTGCAGTCTCCATATGTGATCTGAGTTGCCATCAGCTTCACATGCACCCTTGTTATGATGGGATTCTTATGCAATCCTCAGGGTAAAGAGAAAACGTATTCCAGTACAAAAACCATGAACTTCAAGACAGTAGCAGAGGAAGAAAGGATCCCGAGAACAGAAAGCAACTGATGAAAGTGATAACAACGTCCCACTTATCAACAATTACTGTCTTTTCTTTTTTTTTCCTTTTTCAGACAGGGTCTCCCTGTAGCCCCAGCTGTCCTGGAACTCACTAGGGAGACCAGGCTGGCCTTGAACTCACAGAGATCCACCTGCCTCTGCCTGGGATTAAAGGCGTGCTGGGATTAAAGACGTGCACCACCTCGTCTGGCTTATTTTCATTTTTGTAGTGTTGGGAGTTGAACCCAGAGCTTCATGCAAGTGATTCAATATCTAGAAAACCCGGAAAATGCTGTATTCCAAACCCTAATGCTTATTTTATTTTTTGTTTTATTATTTTATGTGTATGTGTGTATTTCCTGCATGTAAGTAAGTGCACCCGTGTCTTGCAATGCCTGTGGAGGACGGAAGAGGCTGTTGGATCCCCTGGAATTGGAGTTACAGACAGTTGTTGGCTGCCATGTGGGTGCTGGGATTTGAACCCAGGTGTTCTGCAAGAACAGCCGGTGTTCTTGACCGCTGAGCTATCCCCCCCCCCCCGAAATGCTTATTTTAAATGTCAGCAGTTAAGTTTCTCCAGCCAAAAGATGGAAGGCGGTTGGCTGGGAACAATCGCCCTCCAACAAGAGCTGCTCAGTGGAGACTCACTCCACAGTTAAAGACACAGGCTGACGGTGGAAAGGTAAGGGATGGGAAAGGGTCCATGCAGACAGGGAGCGGGCAGGCGCACTTGCATCAGACAAAACAGACTACGTCCAAAAGTGTCTCAAGAGCCACAGTCCCAGCCCCTCAAAGCAATGTTTAGCAAAATCCAATGGCATTTCCCCCACAATCCTAAATTTCATTGACCACAAAAGACCACAAGGAGCCAAACAATCTTGAGAAAAACCAAAGCTAGGGGCACTGCACCCTGTATTTTAGACTACCTCCTACCTGTGGTCAGCAGAGCAGCAAGATACCAGGAAAAACAGACCAATACAAGGGACAGAGGACCTAAAAACAACACACCCCACCAACTGCTATTAACACAAGTACCAAGAACACACAGTGGGGAAAAGACGGTGTCTTCAGCACCTGGTACTGTGAAAACACATGCAAAAAACTAAAATTGGACTTTTTTTCTTTTGTCTTTTTGACATAGGGTCTCCCTGTAACCCCAGCTGGTCTGGAACTCCAGATGTAGACCAGGTTGGCCTTGAACTCACAGAGATCCTCCTGAGTGCTAGGATTAGAGATGTGTATCACCACGCCCAGCTTACTTTAAATCATTTCTAGAAATCAACTCACACTGGATTCAAGTCAAGGCTTAAATATAAATTATGACACTAAATCTAGAGGAAAAGTTTCCTTGACATTGGTCTTGGCAAAGAGTTTTTTTTTAGACAGGGTCTCCCTGTAGCCCCCAGAGGCCCTGGAACTTGCTATGTACACCAGGCTGGCCTTGATCTCAGAGATTCACCTGCCTCCTGAGAGCTGAGCTTGATGGCATGTGCTACCATGCCTGGCTGGCAAAGACTTTTTCAATATGAATCCAAAAGCACAGGTAACCAAAGGGGGAAAAAAATAAGTGGAACTGTATTGAGCTGAGAAGATTCTGAAGGGGCTGGAGAGATGGCTCAGTGGTTAAGAGCACTGGGTGCTCTTGCAGAGGACCTGGGTTCAATTCCCAGCACCCACATGGCGGCTAGTAACTATCTGTAACTCCCATTCCGGGGGACTCTGACACCCTCTTCTGCCCTCCATAGGCATTGCACGACATGGGTGCACTTATATACACACAGTCAATACACTCAAACACATAAAAAATTAAAAAAAAAAAAGGATTCTGAAGAGAAAGGCAGGCTTCAGGATGGGAGAAGCATGTGTCTGGGAAGGAGTCACTATCCAAAATTATAAGGAACTCATAACAACTGAACAGAAACAACCAATCCCCAACCTGATTAAAAACTGGCAAAGGATCTGAACAAACATTTCTCCAAAGCAGATATGAAATGGATACCCAGGTCCTCTGCAAGAGCAACCAGTGCTCGTAACCACTGAGCATCTCTCCAGCCCCTTCAGAACAACACACATATAAAGCACCAGTCATCAACCAGAAAAATGCCAATCAAAACCAGAAGGTGTCACTGCTCACCTGTCTGTATGGCTCCTGCTAAAGAAACAAAGAGTACTACTGCGAGTTGGTATAGTCATTATGGAAAATGGGGGAAGGTCCTCTAAAAATTAGGACCAGAAAGGCCACAGGATCCAGCAAACCCTCTTCTGGGTATGCATCAAAGAACTGAAGTTAGAGCAATGAAGACATGGGCACTTCCATGCTCACTGCAGCTCTGTTCACAAGAGCATGAGAGTGCAGACAGGCGAATGGACAGAGAATGGTCTGTATGACCCTCAGCCTTCACAGAAGGCAATCCTGCTACTTGAGACCATGTGGATGGAGGCATCATGCTGAGCAAAATAATCCAGACACAGAACACACACATGCATAAACCTCATCCCTCTGTGGTAAGAAGCAGAGGGCAGTGGTTGCCAGTGGCTAGGGGGCAGGTGGAAGGTGATGGGTAAGGGTACCAACACTCAGCTATGCAGGACACTGAAGACACTCCTCAAAGCATGGGGACCACAGCTAAGAGCTCGGAGGGCACACCCTGCACTAAATGTCTTTACCCCAAACACAGTCACAATCATGATGATGATCAAGGTGTGGAGGGAACTCTGAGAGGTGACAGATGTGTCAAAGGCCAATGGCGGGGATGGTTTCATGTGTGCATACTTATCCTCAAACTCATCAGGTTGTACACACTGAACTGTAGTTTTTAGAATGTCAATCACATGAAAGTGGGCTAAAATAAGCCACAGTTCTGCCCTACACCTCTGGAGTAAAATATGCTAAGGGTCCACATTGGTGCTAAGTGGAGAGGGGCTGCTCACTGTAGAACATGGGTAACAGGAGAGAAAAATCACTTCCCAACCAAACTGTTAGCAAGAATCACCACTGAACACCAGCCCCACTGTGCGCAGCTGTTCCGTCCATTTGGACAAGACAGTAGTCATCTTAATCATCAGCTGCAATCACCAGCAGGAAGGAGGCCCTCCTGAGATCAAGCCTATTCCCAGTCCCTCATGGGCCAAGAAGGGGGCTCAGGGTCTTCAGAGGCTTTTTAGGGGAAGTTCTCTGCAAACTGCCTGCACTGCAGTGGTTGGTTGCTAGCACGTTCTCCAGGGGACTACGGGTGTTAGGCTGTCCTTGGCAGCCCTGTCCTGTAAGTGACCCGTCATGTTACTGGTTTGTCCAGATGACATCTTTTCTTTGTTCTGCTGGTGCCATCTGGGCTGAACAGACAGGCAGGATTTTGTTTCAGGAAGAGTCACTTGACAAGGAGTCTGGTGAGGGACTGGGTTTGAGCAAATCTCACTAGACCCTGTGGCTGTGGCTTCCAGGAAGGTGGAAGCCACCCCGTTCTTGGCGTTCCTGCCCTCCCACGTGGACCCAAGCCAGCCTCTGTGCCACAGAACTCAGTGGTGAGTCTACAGAGCACTTTAACAGAGGTTTGTTTATTTATTTATTTATTTTTTGTTTTTTTTGAAACAGGGTCTCCCTGTAGCCCCAGCTGACCTGGCACTCACTATGTAGACCAGGCTGGCCTTGAACTGAGAGATCAACCTGCCCCTGCCTTCCAAGTGCTAGGATTAAAAGCGTCCACCACCACACCTGGCTGAAAGAGGTTTATTTTTAAATAAAGTTTATTTTACAGATGAAATTCCATTTTTTTAGTGATTGTATACATTAGCTCTTAACCTTTACTGTAAGAAATCTATACACAAGCACCGGTTGCTCCAACACTGCCTGCCTCTGCCTCCCTAGTGCTGGGATTAAAGGTGTGCACCACGACAGCCAGTCAGTATGATACATTTTAAGAGATCCATGTATGCACATTTTGTGTGGTGTGTGAACCTAGGGGTTTAAGCAAGTGTTCCACCGAGGTGTATCCTCAGCCCCCAAATCTCTACATACCGTCAACTCAACAGGATCTAGATTCACCTAGGAGGCAAAACTGTGGTCGGGTCTGTGAGAGCATCTGTCCAAGGACTGGGGTCCTGGACTAAACAGGAGAAAGTGAGCTCAGCACCAGCACTCATCTCTCTGCTTCCTCACAACAGATGCAATGCTCGGTTGCCTGGAGGTCCTGCTGCCATGACCTCCTCACCATGATGGACTGGACCTTCCAACCATGAGCCAGAACAACCCTTCTGCACGCTGCTTTTGCCAGGCATTTGCCACAGCAACGAGAAGAGCAATACACTGCCTGCACATCTCAAAGTGTAAAGCACATGGTGATCTAAACACTGAGTGCTACAGGGTCACACTGAAACATTCAAAGGTGCACCAGAAACAAAGGGTGATTCACATGGCATCAGCACCCCCACACTGTGTCCACCTGCCCAGGACAGCACTGTGCTGCACAGAAGGGCTAACCTACAACCTCTCTACTTCTATTACAACAACCGAAGGTCAGGATTAGGTAGGTCCACAGCTTTTTGGAGAGAAGCAAATTCTAAGGTTGGAAAATAAAAAGCATCCATAATCTGCAGAGCTGCTGGCGGCCAAGACCGTTCCTATCTGCAGACTGTCTCCTGCCCTTGCTGAGCAGGGCAGGAGTCTTTAGCAGGTCTGTGCTAATTCCTTCCCCAGCAGCCATGCTCTGCCAATGTTCTCACTTTGCTCCTGCCAAGGACCCAATACCAACCCCAAACCTCAGCTGTCTAGAAAACAGTCCCTAGACCCCATGCACCAGTTACTAACAGTTTTTGAATTTATAACCAACATTGTAAAAGACAAAAACGTATCTATTTATGATGACAGCACCCCCTAGTGGCTTAATGTATCTATCAAACAACAAAGAATCCACCCAGGGCTCCACACAGAACACTGCCCAGCATCTGCGCCATCCTCTCCCCTTTGCTTCCTCCTGCTATAGCCATACACACAAAGCTGAAACAAACAGAATCATCTGAGGGGGCTGGAGAGATGCCTCAGCAGTCAAGAGCACTGGCTGCTCTTACAGAAGACCCCGATTCAGTTCCCAGCACCCACATGATGGCCCACAACCATCTGTAACGTCAGTTCCAGGGGCTCTAACACCCTCCTCTGGCCTTGGGTGCCAGGTATGCACGGGTGCACCATACACACACAGAGGCAAAACACTCACATAAAAAAAATTTAAAACCCAAACATCCTAAAATACAATAAACCACAACAGACCGACGTAACTCCTCCCACTGTCATGACAGGCCTGAGTGCATAAGTGACATCTCCCGGGCTACAGCCTCAGCATGGCTTTGCCCTGCAGAGATTTTGATGCAAGGCCTGCCCGCTCCCTCAGAAGGCTGGCTTCCTCTGCACTCTGGTGGGCCTGTGCGTGCTTCAATAAGAAGTGGCCAATGAAGAGCTTCAGGCCTTCTCGCAGCATCCCCAGCTTTGGGTTGTCAGCTACCCTGAAAGGGAATTGGAGACAGGTCAGAGGGGCTGGCCTTCCAGGGCAGGGCCTGATGCTTCGAGAAGCAAGGCAAAGCCTCCTTTTAGGCATTTGTAGGTTATGGTGCTGGGGATAAAGTGCAAGGTTTGCAGCAGGCAAGCACACTGCCACTGAGCTACTCCCACACCCCACTTCCTTCTACATCCCTTCTATTTATTTTTGGTCTTTTTGAGACAGAGTCTCCCTGAAGCCCCAACTGGTTTGGAACTTGCTATGTAGACCAGGCTGGCCTTGAACTCAGACATCTGCCTGCCTCTGTCTCTTCTGGGATTAAAGGTATGCGCCACCACGCCTGGCTATTTAAAAGATTTATTTCTATTTTATGTGTATGAGTGTTTTCTTACACGTATGTATGTATGTATGTACATATGTATGTTCACCATATGTGTGCACTGCCTAGGAGAGTGTCAAGAGTCTCTTGAGCTGGAAATACAGTCAGCTGTCACTTTCACATGGATGCTGGGAACTGAACCCCTGGGTCCTCTGCAAGAATAACAGGTGCTCTTAACTGTTAAGCCACCTCTCTAGCCTACCTATCTGATTGTCTTTTTTTTTCCTTTTTTCTTTTTGAGACAGGGTCTTCCTGTAGTCCCAGCTGTCCTGGAACTCACTATGTAGACCAGGCTGGCCTTGAACTCACAGAGATCCACCTGCCTCTGCCTCCCAAGTGCTGGGACTAAAGGCATGTGCCACCGCCCGGCTTGATTGTCTTTTTGAGACATGGTCTCCTTGTGACCCCAGCTGGCCTGGAACTATGTAGACCAGGCTGACCTCAATCTCAGAGATCCGCTTGCCTCTGCCACCTGAGTGCTGGGATTAAAGATGTGTCCCAGCGGGTGTGGTGGCATACGCCTTTAATCCCAGCATGCGGGAGGCAGAGGCAGGCCAAAGCCAGCCTGGTCTACATAGTGAGTTCCAGGACAGCTGGGGCTACAGAGAGACCCTGTCTCAAAAAGACAAAAAACAAAAAACAAAAACAAAAACAACCCCCCCCCCCAAAAAAAAAAGTGCATCAGGACACCTGGCTCTCGCCCCTTTTTGATTTGATTTGATTATTTATTTTATTATTTTTTGGTCTTTTTGAGACAGGGTCTCCCTGTAGCCCCAGCTCTCCTGGATTCACTATGGAGACCAGGCAGGCCTCAAACTCAAGAGATCCACCTGCCTCTGCCTCCCGAGTGCTGGGATTAAAGGCGAGCGCCACCATGCCTGGCCTCACCCCTTATTTTTAAGGTAGTCTTGCTATGCTGCCTAGAACTCCTGGACTCAAATCTTCCTGGCTCAGCCTCCTAGGCTGGGACCATAGGCATGTGCCACTGCATGTGGCTTCTTTTTTAAGGACAGGGCCTTGCTACATGGTGGCCTCGAGTGCAAACCTCACATCTCAGTCTCCTAGGAGCTAGGATTACTGGTGTATGCTACCCTACCTGGCTTCACCCAGCTTCCCCTTAAAGTAGAATTCTTTGTCAAGAGCTTCTCTTTTGTTATTTGAGACAGGGTCTTACAATGTAGCCAGGCTGGCCTGGAATTCACTTGCAGCTTTGAACTTGCAGCAATTCTCCTGCCTCAGCCTGTTGAGTGCTGGGATTACAGGCATGAGCCACCATGCCCAGCTTCAGTTAAGAACTTCTTGGGGCTGGGGATGAGGCTCAGTGGTAGTGCCACAAGCTTAGTATAAGAGGCCTGGGCTCAAGTCCCAGCACCTCACAAGGAGAAAACAAAAAAATCCAAACAACCCAACAAATCCCATTTACCCAAATCACCCTGTTGGCTATTAGGCTATGTTCTATGTTTCTAAAATTGAATGCATTACAGGTTAAAATTAAGACTGAAATGGTTTACTAAAAACATAACGACCCTGGCTTTTATAAACCAACCGGAGTGAACAAACTCTATGTTCCCTTCCCATGTCTGATCAAGACACACTGGGTACATACCTGGCAAAAATTAAACCCAGGTCGTCTTCTTCCACCTCTATCAACAGAACAGTTAATACTTTCCGTAAGAAGTGGACTCTGGGTTTATCCAATTCACTGAATTCAACTACCTAATAGGAGATGGAAAAACATTGTTATACTGATTCAGCACTTTCACCATGATTTATAAGCACAACTAGTTGAGAAAAATTTAACCCTTCCTGTTCTCTGCAACATCAGATTTCAGTGGAGTCTGGTTTCATGGGGGTCTGACTGCTGGCTGGGTGCATGGCAGTAGGAAGCAGAGCTCACTGAGCACATACATTCCAAGTCAGGAACCCAGGAGAGCACAAAGGCAAGCCCAGGAGCAAGGAGCAAGTCTCTGACCCCTCTGAGAAGGGCAGAGGGCACACAGACCCAGGAGCAGGTCAGGGTTGGCCCCAGAGCCCCACCGCCCATGATGGGCTTCTGGGCACTGCTTCTGCTCAGCCAGGGGCAGCACCCAAGCCTTGTACTTGAATGGTTAAAGTTAGGGTTCCACTGTAATGTCCATATTCAAAGTTGCTCCAGTTCCCAGTATATGGTATAAGGGCTCAGTACCCCAATTTTATTATAGTGGTCAAACCCTAACCCTACCACACAACAAAAGAAACACAAGGAATCATGAGTAGATGCTCTGAAGAATGGCAGAATGGACATGTGCACACAGGACACAACAGGAGGCCGCCCTGCAGACCAGTGCCCCACTTGCCTCTGCTATTTACCTCTTTGGGTCTCATGAAAACCTTGGGAATTTTTTAGGACACTTGGCACACTGGTGACCCCACAGTCTAAGCCTCACTAGCCAGCTTACCTTGATCCCGCCTCTTGCACCTAGGCTGGACTGTCACCTCTAGAGGAACAGCTGTGTACCTGCACCTCAGGGCTTTGAAGCCTCAAGTCCAGGGCAGGGAGTTCAGAGCAAGACGTTCCCCACTGAAGCTCCACGAGCACACCTCTGCGAGAGGGCCAGCCCTACTTCACTCCATGCTCCTCCCTGAGTGAGGACCAGTCCATTTTATAATCAGGATCAAGAGATTAACCTCAGCCAGGCATGGTAGTGCACGCTGTTAACCCCAGCATAGGCAGAAGTAGGCACATCAAGGCCAGCCTAGCACATAATGAGTGCCAGGCTAATTGGGAGTTATAGGGAGACCCTGACTTAAAAAAAAAAAAAAAAAAAAAAAAAAAAAAACCAAACCAAACCAAAAAACCCAAAACAACAACAAAACCCCACCAAAACGAAACAAAACACCCACAAAAAGTATTAGATGTCAAACCCTTAACAGATTCACTTGATTATCAAAAAGCCTGTAACTGGGACTGGCAAGACAGCTCACAGGTAATGGTGCTTGCTGCCAACCCTGCTGACCTGAGTATGATCCTCAGAATTCACACGGTGCAAGGAGAGAACCAACTCCTGATAGTTGTCCTGACTGTGGCATGTGCATGCCACACACATCAACGGAATAAATATATGTTGGGAAAACCAAACCAAACCCACTAACTGGGCATTCATTTTTTCCTTTTACTTATCTCCTACATTATACAAACCTTTAAAATGGAAAGCGGAAGTGATTTTGTCTTTAACAAGTGTGCCACCAGACGAACCAAATTTGAGAAATTAGTGGCTGGCAAATTTTCCAAGTCCCGAAATTTGTCCCATATGCTGAACTGGAAAGTCATCTAATAACAAAAAGAAGAAAGTTAAAATCGGCAAATGCTGGAGAGGATCACTAGAATGCAGTGAAAGGTTCTCTATGCTTAGCCACTCCTCTGTCACACCCAGGAGCCAGCACTGTTAGGAATGGCTTCCCTGTCCTTCCTGACATCATCAGAGATCTCTTTTGTTTATAGTTTTCTCCGTCAAATCAGCAGACACCTGCCCAGGGTTTGGAAGAAAAGTTGTTATCAACCTACAGGAGAAGAGGCTAGTGCCTTTAACACTAGAGCTGTCCAGCCAGTTTGGCTACAGTCCTTCCACCTGTGACAGACACAGTCCCAGGTGGATATTCCAGACCCTTGTTACCCTTGTCCCACTGTTCTATTTTCTCTTCCAAGGCAGGCAGTCCTGGCTACTAGCACGGACAAGGTCCATGATGGGGACACACGACTCTTGACTTGGGTACTTATGTTTAGGTAGTGAGCCAGACAGGAAGCCTGGAAGACCAGGAAGGTACAAGTTATGTAACTGTGACCTTCTAAGTTACCTGGAATCTCCTTTCATAGGTGCAGAACTTGCTAGCCAAGAAAGCATAGAAAGGATTGTAGGTTTTCTCCTGTAGGCAGCAATCCATGAGGACGTGGACGATCTCTCTCTCCTGCTGGTCCTTCAGCCCAAGCCTGCTGACAAACAGCAATACTGAATTCATAGCCCACTTTCAGAGACCTCCCTGTCTGGAAAAACCAAGCTGAAAGTGAGCAGATAAAGGTAGTAGTAGCAACCACAGGCCAGTCTTGTTCCTAGCCTCAGATCCTCCAATAAGGTGGCAACACACGGGAGTGCACAACATGACTCCAAGCTCTGCAGCAGCTACAGAACCGTACACTGGTTTTTGTAGACAAATCATAGCTGCAGTGCTGCACGACTATAAACCCAACCCTCAGGAGGCCAAAGCAGGAGATCCGTGAGTTCAAGACCAGCTTGAGCTATTACAGTGAGACTTAGCTCAAACCCCCAAACACTCCCCTCCACAACTTAAGGAAAAACACAGTAAACTTCATCCTTTTCTGTGTACAGTCCTGTGAGTACAGACAGAAACAGAAAACCCCATAGCCCCCAAATGTACCTTCCCACTTTGCAGCAGCACTTCCCCCAAGGCACAGGTCACCATGCATGCTTTCTGTCCCTCCAGTTCTGTGTGTCAGCAGGCCATGCAGTCACAAAGTGGCTAAATGTGGCTCCTCAGTACCCCCACCTATCAAGAGGACCCACAGCTGGTCCATCTGTTAGTGGAGGAGTGTGGGCCTTTCAGTTTGGGGCACTTAAAAATACGGTCCTTTCTTCTCTCTTGGGATGTTAGGGTTGATCCTACAGCCTTGGACATGCCAGATAAACACTCTATCAACTGAGTTATGCCCAGACCCAACTGAGTGCCCTCTGAAGCTGGTGCTATGGACAAAGGCAGATGTTCTATGACCTTAAGAGATGAACAGCAACTCTGTTTACCACCTCCAGACCTCCCTAAACAACAAAAAATCCCAAGAGAAATACCATGTGACTCAAGGTGTGCTGGTACAACCAGTTTCATTTTAGCTATAATTACAACAACCCATGGGGTTAAATGTTCACAAGAATAGCTAATGGCTGGTGGTGCTTTAATTTTGTAACACTGGGGATGAAGTCCAGGATTTCCCAAATGCTAGGCAAATGTTCTACCTCTGAATTACAGTTCCAACGGAACTAAGGATTCTCATGAACACAGATAGGGTAGGTGGGGGGAGGGAATCAGTTTTTTGGGTACCTAACTGACCTGGAATTCATAATTCTCCAGCTTTGGTCCTGCAGGTACTGGGATTACAGGTGTGTACCACCATGCTCCATAATGGCATACTAACGTTCTGAAAACAGAGTCAGCTAGAGGGTCCTAGTCTGCGTCTGCTGCTGTGATAAAACACTCTTGACCAAAAGCAACTTGGGTAGCAAAGAGTTTAATGACTTAAGTTTCCAGGTCACAGCCCGTTACTGAAGAAAGCCAGGTTGGAAACTCAAGGCAAGAACATGGAGGTAGGAACCGTGGAGGAACCCCATCTGCTGGCTCACTCACACTCAGCTAGCTTCTTTACACATCTTAGGACCACCTCCTAGGGATGGTGCCACCCAGAGTAGGCTGGGCCCTCCTCTATCCATTACTAATCAAGACAATCCCCTACAGACATGCCCACAGACCAACCTCACAGAGATGATCACTCTACAGAGACTCTTTTCAGGTAATTCTAAGCTGTGTCAAGTTGACAGCTAATGCTAACTAGGACAGGGGTCCTCACCCCAAGGCTCCTGGAGGTGGTAGAACCTTTAGGAAGAAGTCGAGGGGAAGAAGTTAGGTCACAGGGGACATGTTCTTAATAAGGGGGATATTGGCAACCTGGCTCCTCCTCTTCCTATTTCCCAACTTCCATGAGGCAAACAGATCTCTTCTACCACATGTTCCTGCCATGATGTACTTACTGTCCTGCCACAAGCCCAAAGCAACAGGGCCAAGCAAAACCTCTGACACCACAAGCCAAAATAAACTTTTCTCCTTCAAGTTGCTTTTCTCAGACATTCTGTCAGTGGTAGAAGCTGGTTAACAATACAAGTCAGACTGTCTGAGCCCAGAATAAACTTCCCTCAATGAAGCCCTTTCAGAGACAGAGTGACTAGCAGACACAGAACTACAATCAGCAAGCAGTGGTAGTAGGCAATCTGAACAGGACCCCAAGGCTTATAGGGAGCAGTTTATTTGTACCAGTACAGTCCCTGAGAGAGTTCTTTAAATCAGGCTCCAGAGGAAAGCTTAGCCTCTTTTACCCCATGTATAGCTCCCTTTCTTTTTCTACACATACCCTGACTGGGTACTTTGTGCTACAAGGTTGTGACAGACACAACTGTGTATGTGCACTCAGGCACAAATCATTCTACATTTCTTTGTCTTTGTCCTGGTGGGATTCTTGCCACATTCCCCCCTTTGATGATCAAACCCTTCTTAGGGGTGAAGAGCATCTCCTTGGTTTAAGAGTTGTGGATAAGAAAACAAACTATAGTAGGACAAACTAATGACCTATTAGTAATGCACTATGAGAAAATGTAGTTTTCTAGATTCACATTTTTATTTGCTGACCATCAAAATATAGTCTATTTGAAACCTACAGTTATTTAGTTTCTAGTCTTAAATCCATTTGGAGCTCTCTTGAGGGCTGCTATAAAGTCAATGTGTACATTAAAGGACCCAGGTAATAACGTTAGTCCTGGGATTAGCTTCACTAGGAGGAGGTGATTTGAAAGCCCAAGGTAAAGGTTATACCCGATTGAACCAGGACACAAGTCCTATACCAGTTGGGTGGCAGGCTTGCACAAAGGTCAAGTCTGCAGTACCATCAGATGTTAGCTTGGGAGACACTGAATACGGAGTAATTGCTATTTTCCCTTTCATTGTTCGGGACCGTCAAGATGTGGTTTGGCCTTTATAATTCCCCATAGGGTGAGAGAATCCGCCCCCTTGTCATGTGAGATATGAGGCACTCTCCCTGATGATAAGGAGGTTCCAATAGGTCTGTCCACATGGACAGGAACATGAGGAGCAGAGTTGGCAAACCTTGTTTTCCATTCATTCTCATCTTATAATGGGGCCTGTGTCCCACTGAAGGGAAAGGGTGCTCGTGAGCCTGCCACACAGTAAGGTCTCAGAAACAAACAGCAAGCTCAAGGTTCCATATCAACAAGGTCCAATTCAGAAAACTAACCATCAGAATTCCGTACTTATTTCATTCTAAAATTTGAAACAGATAAAGAAAAGGGAATCATTTAAATTGCTTAGATCCCTCAATGGCCTAGAACTCACTATATGGCCCAGGCTGGCTTTGAAGTCACAGAGATCAGTTTGCCTCTGCCTCCAGAGTGCTGGTATTAAAGGTGTACGCCACCATGCCCACCTGAGAAATGCTTTGTAAAAGTACAACTAATTACAGAAAGTATACTGTAAATTTTAAATTAAGAATCAGAAAGAGGGCTGGAGAGATGGCTCAGTGGTTAAGAGCACTGACTGCTCTTGCAGAGGACCAGGGTTCGATTCCCAGCACCCATATGGTGGCTACAAACCGTCCTTAACTCCAGTTCCAGGGGAATCTGACGCCCTCTTCTGACTTCCTCGGCATTGTACGACACGGCTACACTCACATACACACAGGCAATACACTCAGACACATAAAAAAATATTAAAAAAAAAAAAGAATCAGAAAGATAACAATTCCTGACAATCAACAGCCCCCTCAGACTACTGGATGGTTACTGAACATTGCTAGTCAAGCCCTCAAATCTTAGTGTCACACAGTGCACCTGCCAAGGGCAAACCAATAGGGATCAATGGCTTACAGGGGTCATGTGGGACCCACAGACCCCAGTGAGAGGACAGTGAGAGGCAAGGCAGTCACCTAAAAGCCCAAACCAGAACAGCCAGTTCCTACCTACCAGGTGGCAGGTAAGAGGCTCCACAGGGCTCACTCACTTCAACAACTTTTCAAAGGCGTCCAGGAAGTCCTCGCTCGTCATCATGGTGCAAAATATGCTCCTCCGGATGTCAGTGTTCATTCTCTGCTTCCGGGCAAGCTCTAGGATCTTGGAGCTAACCTGATAAGAGGGAGACCATCAATCATCCTGACAGGTACTGTCTCCTGAGAACACCACCACTACTCCTCAGCATGGTGTGTTTGTGGACCCGAGTCACTGAAGAGACCCACACACTTGAGTCATGAGTACATCATGACTGCAAACCACATGTGCATGCGTGTGTGTAAATGCCAAATCTTTATTCTTAGGTATCTCCTACAAAGGGAGAAGACAGCAGAGAAAAACCACCAGAGGAGAGTTCAACTGGGAGAGTTCCCTGGTGGGTCACCCTGTGCATGAAGGGCAGGTTCAGACACAGGCTCTTCCAGAGCCCGGCACACTCCGGGAGGGTCCCGGACAGGAAGGAAATCTGGGTCATGCATGGACTTCGGTTCCTAATACACACAAGTGCAAAGGATTTTCACAATCTGAATCCACACTAGGGACTGGAACCCGCACCTTCCAAGAATCAGCATGTGTCTGGGTTCCAACGACAAGCTCTGCAAAATGAATGCAATTTTCACATCTCTCATCCCATTCAACCTTGCAATATCTTCTGCATTGTTTTGGGACTTTAGAAAAACTGAGTTAATTATGCACGAGCGCTAGCTACTTCTGTAAGTCCTAAGCCTGTGCAGTACATCTCGGTAACACTCAGGAATACCAGGGAGCCAGGCAGGGCAGATACTGTGGTCAGGCAGTCTAGCACAGGGGCCTCCATACCGTCCCTGCAAGTGGCTTCTGCGGCAGTGTGTGATGGCTATTGTCGATCATCGGGGTTCCACTCCATGCAGACCCCACAATCCACCAACGCCCTGTCTGCTCTGCATTCAAGATGCCATCCCAGGAGATTCGAAGCTGAGTCTCGGAACCTGAGCCAGCACTGCGAACCTGATTGAAAGAAAAGAGATGGCTCTGTTGACTGGTCTCTACTCTTCACTTCCCTTTCTCTGATAATGGCATTTTTGGTGAACAACTGGGACAGAGCTACCAACTCTCAAGTGTTCTGTGTGGGGTCTGTGGGCCTATCATCCAAACCAGTGACCAGAGCTTTGCAACACCAATGACTAGAGACCTGGGATGACTGGCAACATTCTTATCCTAACTGACAAGGCTATAGGTTGGATACCTGAACTGACTGGGTCCAGCTGGGGCCTGGCCTTCTGAGAGCCAACAGAGGATCCTGTCACAGTCCAAGCTTAGCCCCTCAGGGAGACTCATGGTGGGTGCTCAACCAACTCGACCATTCCTGGGCATGAATGTTCCAGTCTCACTAGGGAAGGTGTGCAGTTTCTAAGACTTGTGCTAGACACACCCTGACCACGTCACAATGTCCACGAGGACAGGGAGGCTCAGGACAAACCACAATGGAAAGCCCCTCACCAGCGCCCTCTGCAACTTCCTGAGCTTCTCCACAGGCTCAGGGTCACAGCCAGGGATCTTGCGCACATCATTGTTCTTCAGGGCCAGCAGTGTCTCCAGCATGAACCGCACCTTACAGGAAAGAGGAGACCCTCAGGACTTGTTACATAACAGCCTACACCACTTAAGAGTCAACTTGGCAAGAAACACATCAGTTAACACAGACGCGCCCACTGACAAGTCTGCCAATGGTCTATCTGGAGATGCAATATGCCACCTCCACTTCCACACCTGTTCAGGGATACAGAGTATTTAAAACAGCCAAGCCTCACCCCTCAGACTGCCCAGAGGCCTCCTCTTCTCCACTCCCACACCCCTGGCCCTCATCACTTGCTGCTCAGGCTGCAAACAGGCCCACCCCCATCCCTCCAGTCAGTGCTCTCCCCTGTACTTGAGTTCTCCTGACCACTGGCGGCCTTTTCATCTTTTAAACTTAACCTGGAAATGCCACCCTCACTCCTGACATCCAGGACTCTGGCCTGGTGTTCCTGAATCCTCCTGGCACATCCCTCCTCACAGCACATCCAGCACTTCAGAGGCACAGCCTTAGCTCTTCTGCGTGTCCTCTGTCCACCTTCAGGGTGAGTCTAATCTTCCAGCCCTTGGCCCTGCTCCCCACTAAGCCAGTCACATCTGACTCTAAGGCCACATCCACTGACACCTGTGTCTTGACTCCCTCCTCCCAGCTCTTGCCACTTCGTCTTTTCTACACTGGGACCACAGTGTCTACCAAAGCAGAGTTTTTGCCAGTGAACGACCTGCAGAGACCTGAGGCCCCCAGGGGAAAAAAAACCTGGCTCTCTGGGAGGGTGAGTGAGGCCCCACACAGGTCCCTATGTTCTCCTCTGGCCAAGCCCCTCAGGTGCCCTCTGGGTGCCCTTCAGGACACAGTCTTCTTTCTCCATGAGGTGTCCTTAGGTGCTGACCTATGCCTCTTACAGCAAGTGAGGCAGGAGCTGTGAGTTCATTTTACTGATGGTAAAAATGTCTGAAGAGCCACACATCCAAGCCAGGCTGACACCTGAGCCCCTGCCACAGAGCCTCCTCAGTAAGCAGCTCTGAGAGTGGGTGAATGAGTCAAGTTTTTAATCATAAAATATTTGAGTTGAGCAGGGTATGGAGCATACCTCTAACCCCAGCACTCAGTAGAGAGGATCACAAGTTTGAGGAAACGAAATGCAAAACCCTCAAAAATCAAGGTCTGTTAGCAGATTGAAGATCAAGCCACAGTACCACATGGGGCAGAAGAGGATGGAAACGTTAGGACCCAAATTGCGACATTCACTCAGGTACGTGTTTTGGCTCTGAGATTCTGTGTGCTCTGTGGACACTCAGAAGGTCAAGTGGCACTCATACCCTGGTCTGGTCTTGAAATTTGCTGCCTGCTGTGCTGGCCTTGGCCTGGGCTTCTGTGATCAGCTCCTTAAGTGACAAGGCATCATCTTTTCTCAAGGCGAAGCCCACATTTCTCAGCATCAATAGGATCAGCTCAATGTCCTTTTCCGTGAAAGTTCCAATGAGTTTCTTCAAGATGTCAAAGATGAGGAGAGACTGCACCACGTGGAAGTTGTACAAGTGGGCCACAATGATAAACAGATTATCCAGTTCTTTCCCCTCACCTCCATCTCGATAGACATCGTCAAACTTCCTCACCACAGCCTCCAAGAAGCAAGCACCAACCTGAAGGGACAGAAGCAGCCATCAGCATACCACTCTGGGACCTGGCCCATCGAGCTGCACTAATACCCAGCACATAATGTATAACATGTATGTAGGTAGGTTAGAAACTCTGCTGCAGGGGCTGGAGAGATGGCTCAGTGGTTAAGAGCACTGACTGCTCTTGCAGAGGACCCGGGTTCGATTCCCAGCACCCACATGGCGGCTATGAACTGTCCTTAACTCCAGTTCCAGGGGAATCCAAAGCCCTCTTCTGACCTCCGCGGCATAGCACGACACGGGTGTACTCACATACATGCAGGCCATATACTCATAAACATAAAAATAATGAATAAAAAAAAAAAATATATATATATATATATATATTAAGAAACTCTGCTGCAGACCTTAGTAACCAGCATGTGTAGGCCAAGAGGATTCTAGACAGCAAATGACAGTACTGAACTACTTGCCACAGTGCTTAAGCCTTTCCAGTAAAAATACTCTTTTCTTTAAAATCAGGGGCTGGAGAGATGGCACAGCTGTTAAAGGCTAAGGCTAACAACCAAAAAAATAAAATCAACAACAGGGCTGGAGAGATGGCTCAGCAGTTAAGAGCACTGGCTGCTCTTGCAGAGGACCCAGGTTTGGTTCCAGCACAGCTAACAACTGTCAGTAACTCCAGTTCCTGGGGAACCAATGCCCTCTCTGGCCTCCAAAGGCATTGTGTATCACGAATATATTTAGATATATGAAGGTAAAACGCTCATACACATTTAAGAAAGCTTACTAAGCTTGGATATGGAACCTGTGCAGATTAATACTAAAATTCACTATCAGGTAGGATGCACTGTGAACATATGAGTGGAGTGAAAAGTTTGAGGGAAGATGAGACCCACAGACACTCAGAGTGTAAGGGGAAAGCACACTCACACATTGCTGGACTGTAAAACAATGACTGCTAAAGTCCCAGAAAAAGGTGGCAGACAGCCTTAGGACTTCTGGAAACCAAAACTAAAAGCCTGAAGCTTGACTTGCATTTCAAGCCCCTCCTCTAGAGAAACCCGAACAACACTCGTCTTACATTCACGGTGACAAAGAAGCCAGAACACTGCGGGGAGCAGCAAAACCTGAGGTGCCAACAGAGGTTGTTTTCAACATGCTAACGTCCAATCTTATCAATAGGTAAAAGATTTTAATTCTATTTAATGCCTTCAAAATTAAATGTTAACAGCCTAGCACCTAAAACATAAATAAAACTCCTGTTGCTAACAATAATTCTGATACCTGAGTTTTAGCACAAATCTGCAAAGGTCTGAACTGTAGGTGACAGGAGAGCATCAGCCAAGAACACTGCCCTTAACATTTTCCTTCCGGGAGTTTGGAGGTTTTTCACAGCAGTTTAATGGGAACCAGCATCCTGAGAGCTCAGCATGTCTGGCCCAAGTTTAAGTGGATGCCATTAGCTAAAGCACTATAATGACTTCCCCTGAACAAGCCATCCCACTGTTCTTCAGCTATTAGCTAAGGTGTAAATGGGAAGCAGGCCCAATAACCTCAGGTTTTCAAATCAAGTAAATTCCTGATGTGCTGTGGGTGGTTACATCTATGACTTTACAATAACTCACTGAAATATTGTCTGTACTCAAACCATTTCGATTAAGTCTAATGAACTGTACCAGTGTGATCTAAGACAGAGGATACCACAGCAGCCACAGAACAGCATGAATTACAGTAATCACAGGGCACCAGACAAGGTGTCCAGGGCCTCCATTATGCTTTGTAATGGCAAAAGAATGGACTCCCACCCACATGTGACCATAGCTCTTAGAATGAAGAAATTACTTCCTAAGTGCAATTCCTCTTGCACAGAGAGATGGGGGGTACTGGGCTCTCTCCTCAGTGCTCAGGTTCCCAGGGTCCAGGGGTCTGGAGGCCTTCCCTCCTCAACCTCATGACTTCACAGTGGGGCAGCACTGCAGGTGACACAGTCAGGGCATGGAGAAAAGGCACATGCATACCTCGATTCCAACTGTGTGGTGAAGGACGCTTACTAAGAGGACATGTTCCATCATCAGCCTGGGGGGCATGGCTGAGGCAGTGACACAGGCGCCCATGAGAGCAGCAGTCAGGGTGTCGTTCATGTGCTTCCGGCTGTGGGCCATGTACAGCTCCTCCATCTGTCCACTTATAGACGCCATGTTTGGCTCACTCAGCCTGCAGTGGGGTGTAAGCAGAGAGGGCAATGTGGAACCATTCTCTAGTTAAGAAGACTAAGGCCTGGCCAAGAATGCTACCAACACCTCCTACTTTATGTACACTTCTGATCCAGAAACAGCTCTGATCTTGCCACAAGCTGGTGCATATTGCTCCTAACAGATTCTAGAATTCTGAAACAACGTGACTGTCTTCCAGTAAGAAGACTAAGGCCTGGCCAAGAATGCTACCAACACCTCCTACTTTATGTACACTTCTGATCCAGAAACAGCTCTGATCTTGCCACAAGCCGGTGCATATTGCTCCTAACAGATTCTAGAATTCTGAAACAACGTGACTGTCTTCCAGGTGAAGCATGGCCACAGAGGCATGTCCTGGGATCCTCTATCTACAGACACTTACATGAGGCCATGCCCACAGACACTCTGACCTGATATCCCCAGAGGCAGTGATCACTCCAAGGTGCTGAGTTAAGAACAATGTCTTAGTGCAAACATCCTTGGTTCTTATACCAAGAAGCCATCCTACCTTTTTATTTATTTATTTATTTATTTATTTATTTATTTAAATATGTGTGTGCTGTACCATCTTAACAGGCAGGGAGGGAGGAATGTACAGGTAGGACATTATTCACTGTGCACCTGTGCTAATACTGAACTGGGCGTTAAAACAACAGGCCATGGTGCAATTCCAGGACACTACGGCAACAGCGTGGGCTTTGATGAAATAGAAAAAAGCAGCGAGGGATGAGGTGAGCCAAGGGGGGCAGAGCTGAGAACCTTGTAGCGCCAGGAGAGTTATGCACCTTGATTGTGGTAGCAGTTACCCAAATTTTCATGCAACAAAGCTGCAAAGAATCCACCTCAATCTCCCTCTTGGAAAATGAAACTGGAGAAAGTGTGGGATGTGTCAGTTTTTTTTGAGACATGTATCCTAGGCTGGCCTCCAACTCCCTACGTAGCCAAGGATGACCTTGAAGTTCTCCTCCTGCCCCTACCTCCAAATGGATTCCTCCTGGGATTCCTGGCATCACAGGCATGTACAAACACAGTGTGTGGTCTTGCAAGCCAGGGCTTCATGAATGCTGGACAAGCACTCTATCAACTGAGCTACATGCCTAGCCCCTCCTTGTTTGGTTAACTGTACAGCAGCCACAGAGTGTCCCCCTGGAGAAAAGGGTAAAGGGCATGCAGGACCTCCCACAGTCTTTACAACACCCCATGATTCTGTAAAAAAAAAAAAAAAAAAAAAATTAAAAAACCGGGCCTGGGGGGGGATGCCTTTAATCCCAGCACTCAGGAGGCAGAGGCAGGCAGATCTCTGAGTTCCAGGCCAGCTGGGGCTACAGGAAAACCCTATCTCAAAAAGAAAAAACAAACAACAAAAAAAAAAGTTAGGCAGCAAAAGGGCAATACATATTCAGAACCTGACAAAACTAGATAGCTGCTACAGGCTAGGACAGTATCCTCTTTAGAAGGGTTAAGGAGGGGCCTGAAGTAGGCTCTGGGTGACAGTCATGGGAGAGGAGAAGGGCATTAGCAGTCCTTTTTGAGACAGCGTCTCCCTGTAGCCCCAGATGGCCTGGAACTCACTATGTAGCCCAAACTGGCCTTGAATTCACAAAGATCCGCCTGCCTCTGCCTCCCAAGTGCTGGGAATAAAGGCGTGCACTACCACGCCCAGCTCCAACTTATTTTTTAACTAGAGAGAGCCAATGGGGGAAGGTTAAGTGACAAAGTCCCAACCATGTGGCTTCCAATGAACCTTTCAAAACTGGACAGTAAGAAACTAAGCTGTGAGTGGTGACGGGTACAGAAGACCATGTTTCCTACCAGGTGCACCTGCTTCTGCAGGGAGGACCACGGCTGCCTACAACTGTCCTTAGGACACAGAACCCTGCCCTGTGACCCTGTGGGCTGCCTTCAAACAGTGAAAGGACAAAATCAAACAGCAAAGCACTCTCTCCCCTCAAGGTCTGGCTGCCTCACACCAAGGACAGAAAGGGTCTAAAATACTGTCCAGGGGCTGGAGAGATGGCTCAGTGGTTAGAAGCACTGGTTGCTCTTAAGAGAGGACCTGGGTTCGGTTCCCAGCATCCACATGATGGGCAATGACCGCCTCTATCACCAGCTTCAGGGTAAGATGCCCTCTTCTGGCCTCTGTGGGCATCGCATACGTGTGGCAACCTACATACAGGCAAAACATTCATACATATGAAAATAAATTAAATGAAAAAAATATTGTTCAGGGACGTAGATACAGATCTAAATATGATAAAATATATTGTACATATTAAAAATAAACAAAAGCATGTCCCTAGCTCTGCCTCACTTGTCTCTTAATCCCCCAAGACCAGCTTTATGTTTAGGAAGACAACCTCCTGAAGGGGTAGACTACACAGCTCTGGAAGGTTACCTGTTAATCAGGCCTTTGACCTGCTTCTTAAGTCTTTCCAGCTCTTCCTTCTTGTGGACATCCAGCGTCTCCTCTACCCTCACACGAGGTGGGACGTACTTGTCACCAGTATTTCCAACACTCTGATTCTCCTTGCAGATGGGAATAAAATTGCAAAAAACGTCAGAGTGAACAAATCCAATGAATTCTGTCGTTATTTCATCTAAACACCAAACTCACAAGGATCTGGGGAAAGCTGTTTCCACAGACCAGTGCTGTTTAACTTTACCGAGTGCCTCGGATGGCCGGGTCGGCCTAACACTTAGCAGGATGTGGCTGCCACTGTGTGTAAGGGCCAGTACCGCACCTGCTCGCCCTCGGTTTGGAACGGCATCCCGGAGGGCCAAGGGGTTGCTGGTGCTGTACCTGATGCTCTTTGTCATCTTCTGCAGAACCTTCCCTCTCTTCTACGGCTTCTGCAAAACGGACTCTCTTAGTCCCTTTATTTCCTCGCGCGCCACATTCAGCTGCTTCCTCGCTTTGCTGGTCTCCATCCTCCTGGTCCTCCGGCTGCGCTCCCGCGTCAGAGTCGTCCTCACTGTCCCCCGAGCTGCTCTCTAGGTCACTCTCGGGGAGGGTCTGTCCGGCCTCTCCCTCCTCCCCCTCCCCCTCGCTGCTTTCGTACAAGCAGCCGCCTCTCCCGGGCTCCAGGGCTCCCAGGATGTAGTCCAAGCCGTCCCGGGCAAAGCTGAGCAGCACCGAGCTGCTGTCGCCCTTCTTCCTGCGCTTGTTCAGACCGAGGCATCGCTCCAGCTTCCGGATCTCTCGGTCCTCCTCCTCGTTGGCCGCTAGAAGGGCCCGCTTCCGGGCGGCGGCGGCGCCGGCGGGTCGGGGCTTCCCGAGGGTACCCGGAGCCGTGGCCCGGGTCGCCGGGGTCTTGCGGTCCTTAGCCCGGGCCTCCGGGGTCATCCGGTCCTTAGTCGGGGTCACCGAGGTCGTCAGGTCCTTAGCCGGGCCCCGCATGCGGCCGGTGCCCCCCTCCCGGTCCCCGAGGCCCGCGGTCCTCTGCAGGCGCCGCGCTTTCCTCAGCTGCCGCTTCTCCCTGCGCAGCTCCTTGCGGCTCTTCCTCCCGCCGGGCCCGGCGCGCGCCACGCCGCGGTCCTCGTAGCCCCCGGGGGCTTCGGCGGCCCGTACGAAGCCCTCCACGGCCAACCGGAGCCGCTTCAGGGCGCCCGGCTCGCCGCCTGGAGCACCGCGGCCGCCGCCTCGCTTCCTGCCCGCCTCAGGCCGGCGCGACCCACCACGGCCCGCAGCAGCCATGCTATCCGACGCCGCCGACTTCCGCGACGCTCTGGCACACCACTTCCGGAAGGGGTGGGACTTCCGAGAGAGAGGCGTTGCCCGGGTTAGAATATCGCGACCTCTGTGCGGCGCCCCCTTCTGGCCGGAGGGCAGCTGCCGCAGACCTAAATAGAGTGGAAACGGAAGCCACATGATGCAGGGACCTGCGCGGAATTCTCCATAGCTACCGGTGCAGCGCATCCCTGCGTGGGCATGCACGCATGTACCCGAGAAAAGACAATGCTCTGTGCGTACAATTTATTATTTATTTATTTTTGTTGTTGGTTTTTTGTTGTTGTTGTTTTTTGAGACAGGGTCTTCTTGTAGCCCCAGCTGTCCTGGAACTCACTATGTAGACCAGGCTGGCCTCGAGCTCACAAAGATCCGCCTGCCTCTGCCTCCTAAGTGCAGGGATTATTTTTAATATTTTACAGCACCCCACCCCACCATCTTCCTGTAAGATTTACAGACTCTCAGTCCATAGCCCAGGCTGGATTCAAATTCTTGGGCTCAAGCACTCCCATGGGAGTCTTCCAAGTAGCTAGGACTCCAGCTACATCTGGCTAGTTATTTCCAATATTTTCATATTAAAAATGATAATCTTTGAATATACAGCATTTAAATTTGCAGGATCAGAGCCTGAAGGCTACATCCTGAGAAGGCGATTTCTGAAGTAAAGAGTATGCATTTTGTAAAATGAGGGAGATGTTACGGCTAAGCCCACAGGATGAGAATGAAGACCAGTTGAGGTTCCCGATCCATGCTGAATACGTGCCCAGTGAGTTGTTCACAGAGTACTGTCCCATCGTCATCATTAGCAATGGTGCAGCCCTCCCTTTGAGCTGCACAGTTGTGAAAGCAGAGAAGACAAAACCTCGGTGTGCCCACAGTCTTCACCATTAGTGTGGAGGGAGAAGTTCGAATTCTGTAGGAGGAACCCAGATTCCTGTGGGATTCCCGGGGTCTTGGGGCACCCGTCTTACAGGAAGATGGGGGCTGGGGGCTGTCTAAAACAGGAAGATAGAGCCTTGTCTGGAAGAGGATGAAGGGCCTGTGTGACAGTTACCCTTCATTACTACCCTGACTGGATTTAGAATCAACTAAGACATTGAGGAAGTCTCTTGGTTTGTCTGTGGAGGTATTGCCAGAGGATTAATGAACGTCGGGGCATCCATCCTGCATGTTGGGTGACATTATCTCATGGGCAGGGGTCTAGATGAAAGGGAGGGGAGGAGAGAGCCAGGGAGAACAGGCTTCCTGGGCAGTTGCCATGTGAACGTACTAGAATACACATTTCTGCTGACATCAGCTGAACCACTTTGTCATGATTTCCCTGCCATGTTGGACAGAGACTCTCTGGATGAACCAAAATAATTGATCCCTCTATAACTTGTTTCCATCAGGCGTTCTACCACACTGACACAAAAACAAGTAACACAGTCTGTTGGGAGACAAATGGAGGCTCTGACTGAAGGAGGAGAATGGGGGTCCTGTCCGGAGGAGTTAGATGGAGGACCTTCCTGGAGGAGGAAAATGAGGTCCAGTATGGAGGAGGAAGATGGAGGGTCTGTGTGGAGGAGGAGGAGGGTGGAGGGCCTGTGTGGAGGAGGAGGAGGGTAGAGGACCTGTGTGGAGGGGGAGGAGGGTGGAGGGGCTGTGTGGAGGGGGAGGAGGAGCGTGGAGGGCCTGTGTGGAGGTGGAGGAGGAGGAGGAGGGTGGAGGGCCTGTGTGGAGGAGGAGGAGGAGGGTGGAAGGCCTGTGTGGAGGAGGGTGGAAGGCCTGTGTGGAGGAGGGTGGAGGGCCTGTGTGGAGGAGGAGGAGGGTGGAGGGCCTGTGTGGAGGAGGGTGGAGGGCCTATGTGGAGGAGGAGAGGGGTGGAGGGCCTGTGGAGCAGGATGTCTGGAGTGGATGTCTCCAGTGGATGGTCTGGAGGTCATGAAGAGTGTGATGGAGGAGGATGGAGCATCTTTCTGAAAAAGCCAGGTACAGGGCTTGTTTTCAAAGAGTTTTTCCTGGCAGCCTGACCTGAGGAGGGGACTTGTATGGACAGTGTGGTTGCATAGATCTGCATTAGGCTTGTATCAGGGAACAGTGAGGAACACTTGGCTGGAGTGGAATGAGTCAGGCCACTGGCAGGAGGAGCCCCAGGCTGGGTTAGGCAGGACATAGGTGCCCTGTGGGCCTCCTACCTTCTAACATGCCCTCTGGCTACAGCACATTCCCCTGCTGACCAACTCCAGCTTTTCTCAGCCTTAGTTTCCCCACTTCCCCAGGCAGTGCTCCCTAGTCATGCTCCCACAGGTGAGAGGTGCTTCACCAGCAGTCCTGCAGTGAGTCTGGGCCTCCATGACCCAGTCTTGCTTAGGCTCTGCAGTGTGGCCTTCCTCACTCCTGGTGCGTAGTAGGTGTCTCAGACATTTGCTGAGTGTATGAACAAGAGAAGAAGGAAAGAGAGGGAGGGAGGGAGGGA